TTGATATCTAGATCCCCAGTTAGATTCTTGATCGTGTTTTCAAGAATCACACGTTAGAGATCGTGTTTTCGGGATTGTGGGTTATTGTCAATCAATCACTGTGAAGATGAATGGTACTAATGGCATTCTGAATTCTCTTCTAACTCTTGTCGGCAGGAATTGAATTTGATGGAGAAAATAGATGCAATTTATGTTTGGCTTACATGAAATCCTATAAGTGGTTACTAATGGCGTTCATGTGTTGGATGCGTATGTAACAGACGCACAGAGAACCGCTCACAATGAAATCAAGAAGAAGGATTGAAAGGATGCGTATTGCATTCAAATGGGGGTCGATGCAGCTAATTTCGACAAGATCTCTCATGCTGAATCGGAAAAATAAGCATGGGATATTCTTGTCAAATACTATGAAGGGGGTGAGAAAGTCAAGGTTGTCAAGTTACAGACCTTGCATCGACAATATAAATTATTAAGACAAAAAGATTGCAGCATGTGCCGAAGGTACAGAAACTCATCCATCTTATGAAGGGTTGTGGTAAAACCCTAACTGATAAGATGATAGTTAAGAAGGTAATGTGTATGTTGACCTCTCACTTTGATCATGTTATTGTAGCTATTCAAGAATCCAACCAGCTTGAAATCCTAAAATTGGAAGACTTGGTTGGTTCATTGGAAGCACATGAGATTATAATTTTCGAAAGTAAATAAGTTCAAGATTCGATACAAGCTTTGCAGGCTCAATCATGGGAAAAGAATGGTGGTTCCAACAAATTCAAAGGCAAATTCGGCAAGACTCATGGAAAGAAATCTTGGTCGAACCCTCATAAGTATCAAGTCGATGATAAGGCTTCTGAATCCTGGAAAAGAGGAGTAGGAACTATCAAAAGGAAGAAGAAGATAAAAAAGGTGTGCAATGCTACAACTGTGAAAAGTGGGGTCATTTGGCCAAGCATTGTCGGTACAAAAAAGACAAGGGATCGACAAAAGGCAAGGACGAAGGAGCGAATCTTACACGACAAAATTCTGATGATTCTGAAAGTATGGTGGTTATGGATGAAATTATAGATAACTATTTCAAATCCAAGATCTTGTTCCCCAACTCAAGCTGCTCGAATCACATGACTGGTCAAAAGGTGTGGTTTGTATATTTTGACGAGTCGAAGAAGAGCAAGATAAAACTTGTTGATAATAATTCGTTACAAGCAGAAGGTATTGGCAATATAGTTTTTCAAATGAGTAATGGAGGGAAAGCTATGATCAAAGATGTATTCTATGTACCTGGAATAAAGTGTAATCTGTTAAGTGTTGGGCAACTAGTCGAAAAAGGTTTTCTCAGTTGTCATGAAAGATGGAGCTTTAAAATTGTTCGACACCTAGAACAATTTGGTCTTAAAATCTCCCATATCGAAGAATAGGATGTTTAAGACCATGATTAGTTCAACTGAAGTACAAGGTCTAAAAACTGTTTCCAACCACAAGGATAATTGGTTATGACATTTGAGGTTTGACCATCTGAATTTTAGGTCACTCAATCAGCTGATTACTCAAGATATGGTAACTGATATCCCAAGTCTTGAGATGCCCGGAAAACTTTGTGAAGACTGTTTAGTCGGGGAAAACTAGAAATACCTTTGTTTCTACTATGTAAATGAGATTATCCTGCATACTAGAAGTGGTATATTCAGATGTATGTGTCTAGTTCGAAGAACATACTGTTGGTGGAAACATGTATTTTGTTTCATTTTTCGATGAGTTTAGACAAAAGTTATGGATCTATGTGATCAAAAGAAAGAACGGAGTATTTGAAATATTTAAGAGATTCAAGATACTTGTCGAAAACCAGAGTGAGAAGAATATTAAACTTCTGCGAACAGGTGGAGGTGGCAAATACACCTCCAATATGTTTGAAGAATTCTGTGTAGAACATGGTGTCGATCATGAGGTAACTTCTCCTTATACGCCTCATCATAGTAGAATTGCATAAAGAAGAAACAGAACCATATTGGATATGGCGAGATGCATGCTGAAGCAGAGGAATTTGCAAAAAAATTTATAGGGAGAAGTTGTTTCACATGTTGTTTATATTTTGAACAGATGCCCTACCAAGAAATTGAAGAACAAGGTTCCTGAAGAAGTATAGAGTGACAAACGATCATCAATAAGTCATATGAAGGTGTTTGTCTCTATGTGTTACAAGCATGTTCCTGATACAAGAAGAAGGAAGCTTGATGACAAGAGTGAATCTATAATTTTGGTAGGATATCATAAAACTGGGGCGTACATGCTATTCAATCCAATCAATGATAAAATTATAATATGTCGAGATATTGTGATTGATAAAAATTCTATTTGGGATAGGGATGGAAATTTGGCCCATACCTTATGGGTACCCATAAAAAATTCCCTCAATGGATAGGATAAAAACCCGTAAAATGGATATGGATACGAGTACGAATAATTATCCATTAAAATAAGAAAGTATGGGTGCGGACACGAGTACCTTACTATCCACCCTGCCCCCATACCTGCATAACATATTTATATAATATCATTTGTATTATTATATAAAACGCACATATATCAATTTTTAAAAAAACATATCGCTATTAAACTATTACACATTTTAATAAAAGTGTTTATTTCTTAACTCAATAATAACATCTATAATTGTTTTAATATTGTTAAAAATAACTTAAAATTATATGATATTTTATAATTAATTGATTGAATTAAATGCGGATAAACGGGTACGGGTATTGAGGTGCTCATAGGGTATGGGTACGAGTATGAATATTAGTGTCCACGCGGGTTTGGGCTCGGGGTACGAGGATTTTTTCAAAGCGCTGGTATGGGGACGAGTATTATAGTATTCTGTCCAAACCCTGCCCATTTCCATCCCTAACTTGGGATTGGAATTCTAATGATGAAATTAACAAGTCATTGATGAGCTATGGTTTCAACGAAGAAACTGATAAAGTCGAAGCCGGAGAAATTACCAATATTCTAGTCGAAGTCAAGCAGTTGTTGATATTCCTGACACATCTGAAGTCGAAGAGGGCGTGGTTAGCATAAGCCAAAGACCTCAAAGAAATAGAGTTTGTCTAACAAGACTTCAAGACTATGAAGTTACTAGTGATGATGAAGTAACACCAGATGGAGAATTAGTTCATTTTTCTTTACTTGCAGGTGTTGAACCAATCAACTATAGCGAGGATTTGAAGATTAAAAAGTGGAAGTTAGTTATGGTCGAAGAGTTACAGGAAATAGAAAGAAACAACACATGGAAGTTAGTCGAATTGCCATCACACACAAAATTTATCGAAATAAAGTGGGTGTTCAAGTTGAAACACAATGGTGATGGGTTGCATGGAAGTTCAAATGTCAAAGTAAGGTATGGTGTTGCATCAAAGAAATTATGTCAAAGAGATACTCAAGAGATTCGGGATTGATGATTCGACTCCAACATCTTCGCCTGTCGAACCAAATTTTGAAGTTGAAGAAGCATGGAGAGGAAGACAAAGTTGATGTAACTTTATTCAAACAAATTGTCAGATATATGAGATATGTGTGCAACAATCGACCTGATATAGGTTTCACAATCGGATTAATGAGCAGATATATAAGTGAACCAAGGGTGTCACACATGAAGGCTGCAAGAAGAATTCTGAGATATTTAAAAGAATCGATAAACTATATAACTCTATTTCGACGAGACTCTGAAATCAAAGAAGCAACAGTTACTTGTTATTCAAATGCTGATTGGTGTGGAGATAAGGAAGATCGAAGAAGTACAACTGAATATTTCTTTCAAGTATTTGGTGCCCCAATCTCATGGTGCTCAAAAAAGCAGCCTATAGTGGCATTATCATCGTGTGTAGCTGAATATATAACAGGATCCTATGGGTATGTCAAGCAATTTGGATCAGATTGGTACTTGAAGAAATGGAGGTCGAAGTGAAGAAACCTCTTATGTTGCAAATCGACAACAAGTCAGTCATAAATCTGGCGAAGAATTCAGTTCTGCATGGAAGAAGTAAGCATATCGAAGTTAGATTTCACTTTTTGAGGAAAAATGTAAATTGAGGTGAACGTGAAGTTAGGCACTGCTCAAGTGAAGCACAATTGATCGACATTTTCACCAAAGAATTGAAGATCGACAAATTCCTGAATTTGATTAAGAAATTAAGATTAGTTCAGATTGACTATTTTTAGAGTATATTCGACAAGCTCAAGTCCAATTAGGTTTTGTTAGCTTACTTTTATATATATATATATATATATATATATATATATATATATATATATATATATATATATATATATATATATATATATATATATATATATATATATATATATATATATATATATATATATATATATATATATATATATATATATATATATATATATATATATATTCATTCATTATTTGTAACAATTCAATTCAATAATACAATCCTTATTTCTTTTACTTTTTCTTTCTCTCCTCACTAAAAGTGTCTCACGCAATACCAATTATTACTTTTTATTGTTTTTTCTCTATTTAATTTCTCAAAATAAAAACCAAAATCTATTTTAATTTATTAGTTTTCAAAACTTATAAATAAAATCATTTTTAAAAATAATTTTGTAAAATTGAATAACCAAATTTTTGTTAGTTTCAAATTTTAAAAATTAAAAAACAGTTTTCCACAACTAAATCAATCAAACCCTCGATCTTTCTAAAGACATCAAAGATTGTAATATATAATGTCTCAACCAACCTTCACAAAAAAAAAAAAAAAAATGGTTAAAGAAAACATATTGTTATGACCATGCACTTCCAGCTCTGATGAACTGTAAAACTATAATTAATAATTTCTACAACATTCCATCTTACATCTGTATTATATCAAGAATCATAGTATCCATAGAGAAACAATTCTGTGAATAAATCCACCCACATGCATAACTGGCATGAGGTAAGTGAGCCTATAAGAACCATTTGACATGTTTTGTCATCCACTGACAACCATTTCCATTATTATATCGTTCCAAGAATCTATTGGCCCAGGTAAGCACCAATGCAAACAATCAGTCTGAACTTTAGCATTTTGGTTCTTGGCAAAGGGCTGAAACTGCCTGTATGGACCCGGATGTCCGTCCGGTCTCAAAAGCGAAAGCGGCGCTAAATCAAGAAGCTTTAGATTAACTCCGTTTTTCGAAGCTTTGGAAGCCGCCTTTTGAAACTCCTCTAACTCAATGTCGCGAATAATCCTGAGCAGATTCTTAATCTCCACCTGAGCTTCTTTAATCGGCTCAGTTCTGTTGCACGTTCCTCCGCTAAACCACTCTCCGTTTTCAAAATGGTCGGGTGTTGATGTCCTGAACAAAATCTGGCCCTTGTGATTGGAAGACGATATGAAGTCCATGACATTTTTTAAGACTTTGCGATAGGCAATGTCGAACCCTACCTCTGTATAGTTCTTGTTATTAGTACACCAGTGGCAGCCCAATATAGTGTTGTTCTCATAGTAGATTGCAGATTTAACAAACCATTTTCCAGTTGAAATAATAATGTAATCAAAGTTTAGATACTGATCTGTCCATTTACTATCCAGTTTGTCTACACGTAGCTCAACCTCAGAACTAGAAACACCATTTATGTCTTCAAAAATAGCAGCTTCCGCAAGAAACGGTGACCATAAAACTGATATAGTTAAGTTGTACGACGGAAAGTTCCAGCTTTTGGACTTGTATTCCTCATCGTGATAGACAAGGACAGCTTTTTCTACCTAAATGTCAAAATAGTTCAAGTGAATAACAGTAACTTCCTTTGCAAATATTTCTACGATTAGTTTCATGATCAACCATGCTTCTATTCAGTCCAAACAATCGGTAACAAAGTCTGGCTTTCACAAATTGACAAAATGCAGTAAGTCAATTACATAAAAGAAAATTTACTACTAATATATGAGTTAAACATACTCTTCTATTTTAAACAAAAATGGTGAAGGAAATGTGTTTAACTATGTATGTATATGAAGAATAAACAAGAGGGAGAGAGAGAGAGAGAGAAATCACTAAGAAAGATAAACCTCATAGGTCATGATTCCAAAACAAAGGCATAATTTTGTAGGTGGGTAGCAAGAAGCAACTATATGTGTATGGAGTTTGGACTTGTAACTATCTCCAGCTTGTTCATGCCATTAGTCTTCATTCTCATTATCCTTTGAACTCTTCTAAACTGAGTTGAAAGCTTCTCAAGTTTTGCTAGTCTATACTTCTTTCATGTTTTAGCGTCATCCACAAGTATCTAAAAATATCTTTTCACTACCAGTCAAAATTCAAAAGAATATCTACCAATTGATCTTCAAATCTTAAAATTAAAATGCTTCTATCCTCGAATACTTTAGAGCTGATAAACAAAACCTCAAAACCCTAGAGTTTTTATCCAATCCAACTCTCAGTGCCTTCAATATATAAAGTTATAAATCAGAGCTACATTATAATGCAACTAGGTCCGGGGGCCTTATATATTGAGCTAGATTCCATTGCCACTAGATAAGACAGAGTTAATAATGAAAACTTGATCTTTAACTCTTTATATCGTAGGTTGATTAAGTTCGTGAGAAATATACCCAAGTGTTTAGGCCTATTAAATCATTACTTACGCAAATAAACAAATCTGACTAATGCAAACAACTTTCTCTCACAAAACAACATATTCTATGACAATTAACTACCAAGGTTATGCATTGGAACCAAAAAGAAGATCCGGTCCAACCGCAATCTGAAAAAACGCATAGAAAAGGAAGTTGTCTAAATCTCACAGAAACATTCACAAAACATAGACAAAAAAGAGAAAACAACAATTGAGCCTAAAGATTGTTACCTTTGTCCATTTTATTTTGTACAAGTTTTCATAACAGGAGCAACACTATGACAAAACCATCAATGACAATGAATGCAGTACTTCAATTTAGCAACAAAAACAAAAGACAAACCTTAGAAAGCATGCAGAGCAAAGACTGAACATGGTTACGAGAAATCGAATCACCAATAAGTCCCCAAACTTTACCACGCATCATATCAAGAAACCTCTTCGGATCAAACATAGGTAACTCACAATCCCTGGGAGCCCATTTCCAATACAAAAACTCCCTATCAGGTCTCCCATTTTTCATACAATTTTGATGCGATTCAATTAGGTCACAAGTTTCATTTGTATACATTGGGCCCAACGGATTCCGTACCCAATCACCATCAAAATAATCACATTTTCCTGCATAATAAAAAAAAAATTAAATTAGTTAGAAATATTAACATTAGTTATAAATTAGTTACAAGTTAGTTACAAATTAGTTACGAATTAGTTACACAAGATAATAGTTAGTTACAAATTACAAATTGGTTACAAGATAAGAATTAGTTATACTCATTTTCATCATTTTGTCACCAATTTAATATTACACTTTTCATATTTTTTTTCCTTTTCTATAGTTTCTATATATTCTATTGCGAATCCTAACTGAATTCAAATTGAAAATAAAAACACTATTTCTGAATTTCAGATCTAAAAAAGAAAAAGTAAATAAGAACACTAACCAGTGTCGGTGGGAGAAACTTTATCTTCTTCATTTTGAATAACTTCTTCATTTTGAGATTCGATGATTTTGTCAGGAAAAGGTTCATCGATGTGAGGTGGAAGAGAGTGAAAGAAGAGAAGACGAAAAGCGAGGACAGAGAAGAAAACAGTGAGAAGTAACTTGATGAAGTAGTTTTTGTGGTTGAAATTGAGAGAAGAATCGATCCTCATTTCTAGTTTGAAACTCTTTCTCTTTCAGTGTTGAAGTACTGTTACTGTTTCGACAAACTCGGAAATTTTGAGAGTTTTTTATAGTAACTAACTTACATCAAGCATGGAAGATTTTGAGATTTTTTGAGGACAGGAAATAGTACTGTAATGTAATGATGAGAGTCAATTAGTGTCTGAGTATGTTGCTAGATCTATGTCAGATTTATCTTTTTACTAGTATTTTTCATGTCACTTTTATAAGTAAATATTATTTTTTAAATTAATTAAATAATTTATATAGATTAAATATATTAATTATTTAATAAATTTAAAAAAAAATTATTTATGATAATAATTGGAGAGAATACTATTTTAGATTAATTATAATTAATCATTAATCAATTCTTCAATTAATAGGTACGGTATCATTAAGATAAATTTATTTTTCCAACTACTACAAGTTTTGTACTAAAATGGTATGGATTGTTGACTATTTATTAAATATTAATTCCATTTTTTCACTTTGCAATTTTTATTTGACTTTTTAATATATATTATTTGGATTTTGATTGTAAAAAGAGGAAATAAGTTTAAATATAGTTTTAATCTCTATAGTTTTTTTAGAAATTTTTTAAAATAACCTTTTTTTTAAGGATTTTTTTTCAACATATTCTAATTTTATAAAAAAATTACCATAAATAAGAAAAAATAATAAATTTAAAGATGGATTTTGCCATTTCAATTGGCAGGGCCATTTTCCTCTCTTTTTTCGTTTTATTTTAGAAAGTTTTACTCCCAAGTGAATTTGATAGGATTTTAATGTTGAAATTTTTATGAATTATGTTGAAAGTTGAACCATTTAAAACCTATTATGGTGTACGTATGAAATATGTTTCCATTTTTTGTTATTTAATTTATTTATTTTTTACAATTTTTCAAATACAAATCCAACTTTAAAGTAGTGTCTCTAAAAAGAAAAAGACAACTTAAGTTAAACCCTCTATCACTATATGATCCCTTATAACAACCCAACTAAGAAACATCTGGCATTTCCAAGATTGATTATAGGGTTGATCAAACATCAAAAAAAATTTGGAAGTTCTTAGAGGGCTTATTAAGAAGGGAAAAAATTTAGAGAGTCTTGTTTATATTTTAAAATATATTTAATATTTTAAAAAAAATTTAAAAACATATATTAACAAATAAAATTATATTATTTTTTGAAATTTTTTAAAATATCAAATACATATTAAAATATAGACATAATTCTATAAAGTTTTCTCTTTCAAAATCATTTAAAAATCAACTCTCAAATAGATTTATAGAATATGTATTATTTCACAAATTTAGTTTAACATCGTCGGGAGTACCAACAAGAAATATGAAAAATAATATTATAAATTATTATTATCAGGGAGATTGTAGATGCCAAAGGCGTGTCAATAGGGTGACAAATTAGTTATGATTATATAAATAGCTACAAATGGATTGTAGTCCTCACTGCCAACTTTTTTTTTCTTCATCTTATGTAGTTTTTAGAGGCTTTTATGACAAATTTTGGCACTGAGTCATTTAACACTTGATTTTAGCAATATAATTTTCATTTTCCTTTGCATTAATGAAACAAAGCAAAATAATACAAAATGATTGTGAAATAGAAATAAAATCATAGGTATACTAAATTAACAATGGAGTTAAGTCTTAAATATCGATATAAATTAGGCATATTAAACTACAGTTGGAATTGCACCAAATTTATGAAGATTTTTGAATCAATCTTAATGAACATGATTTCATCAGTCGGTCGAATTCCTCTTTTATTCTTCACTCGAGTGATTTCAACCAACCTTTGTTACAAGATGATTTTCGCTACACAATGATAATGGAAGAAGAAAAGAAAGATGAAATTGAGGAAGAAAGAAACTTTGGGTTTCACGAAAATAAGGGGAAGAAGAAGAATTGTGAATTCTGCACAAAAAACCCTCTGCTCACAAATTGTGAATTTCTTATTTGATTATGCAATTGCAAGAAGTGATTACAATAATAAGGGTTACTCTCTATTTATAGTTTTAGGTTTGCTTGCTTCCTAAGTCAAAGATCAAAACTACAAAAGCCCAAAATACCTAATTCTGTTAATCTACAAAAATAGGCTCAAGTCGAAATCTCTGTCAAGGCAACTCCTTCGACATTTTGACACACACATTAGGCTAATTTTGACACACCCTTGTTTTTGTCGAGCAAACCTGCTTCGACACAAGGAATTACAATCTCAATAAACCACTTTAATCATTGTGTCTAAGCTATCTACATTCATCATAAATCTTAATTTCTTGAACACTTCGACCTGCACTCCTTTTGTCATGATGTCTGCAATATGATTCTCAATTTCGCAGTGTCCCAAGTTTAGCTTTCCATTTACTACCTGCTCTCGAATATATTGAAACCTCATTTCAATGTGCTTGCTTCTTTCATGTGATATTGGATTCTTCGTCAGATTGATATCTGACATGTTGTCGATCTTTATGGTAATTGATCCATGATATTTCCCTGTTATTCCTTTGACCAGATTCACCATCCATGTTTCTTGACATGCATAAAGAAAAGCAATGTACTCTACTTTGCATGATGACAGTGCTACTACTGGATCTTTTCTCGAGCTCGAAGCAACTGCTGCACCACCTAGCATAAACACAAAACCATACGTGGATTTTTTATCCTTAGCATTACTACACCAACTTGAGTCGGTGTAACCCACAAACTTGCATTATTTTCCTTCATCAGCTGCAGGAAAAGAATTCCATAGTCGAGAGTTCCTTTGAAGTACCTTAGTATCCTCTTTGTCGCTGCTAGATGTGATACCTTTGTCTTCTACATGAATCTACTCACCATATCCACATTGTATGCTAGATCAGGCCTCGTAGGACAAAGGTATCTTAATGACCCAATGAGTATTTTGTAATGTATTGGTTCGACATCATCTTGATCTGTGTCTTTCGACAATTGCAGTCTTGGTTCTTCAGGTGTCCAAGCCGAATTACGTTTTTCCATCTAAAATCTTTTGAGTATTTCACTTGCATATCTTCTTTGATGCATCATAAAGCCTCTACTACTCTTGTAAAATTTGATGCCGGGGAAATATGAAATGTCGCCCAGATCAGACATTTTGAACTCCTTGCTAAGATCATATTTGAAGTCTTCGATCTCTTTCTTGCAGGTACCTGTTATCAACAAGTCATCGACATAGAGACATAATATAAGCAATTCACTCTTGCTTCTTCTTAAATATACTCCAAGCTCAGTTGTGCACTTTACAAATTCCTTCTCCCTTAGGAAATTGTCTATCTTCTTATTCCAAGCTCTTGGAGCTTGTTTAAGTCCATACAGGGCTTTATGAAGCCTGTATGCTTTTCTTTCTTTGCCTTGTTTCACAAACCCAACTGATTGTACAACATAAACTTCTTCATCTAAGGGATCATTCAGGAATTCACATTTCACATCCATTTAACATATGTGCCAATTGTTCATATTTTCTAGACCAATAACCAACCTAATTATTCTGATCCTAGCAATAAGTGCAAAAACTTCATCGAAGTCGATTTCTTCTTTCTTAAGAAATCCTTTTTCCACAAGTCTAGCCTTGTATCGATTTACTTCCCCTTTGGGACTCAACTACACCTTGTATACCCACTTCACGTCGATTTCCTTTTTGCCTTGAGGCAATTCGACAAGTGACCAAGTGTTGTTGACTTTGATGAACTTCAGTTCTTCATTCATTGCTTTCATCCATTTTGAAACCTTCAATGCCTCATCTACATTGATTGGTTCGACATATGCATAGAAATCATACTATACCATCTCACTTTCATTATCGACCATATCATCTGATGTAATCACATATTACTTCAACCTTGCAGACACGCGTCTTGTTCGAATGATATTGTAATGCCCTGGATTACTTTCAGGATTACCGACTGATCCCACAAACCAACGCAAGTTTTTTTCAGCATGATTTATCCTCACTCACATGCTTTCTGGGAAACTTCCCAGAACCATTCAAATACTACTCCAAGCCAAACACGCTTAACTGTGGAGTTCTTATATGTTAGGCTACCGAAAGAAGATGCATCTTATTGGTATAGGTAGTACCAATTAATCATTATAAGATTTCCTTCAACCATGTAATATCTTCCCTGCATAGCCTCAAGATCCCTCTCATTCTGATGTGAATTCAGTTTTTCCCTATAAGCTTCTAGGAGTGTCTCATTGTCATGCTTTATGCGTCGATAACCACTCCCTCAGCCTCGGGTGTTACATGTAACCACTCTGTGCCCTCTTTGTCCTCGGGTGTTACGTGCCCACTGGCTTCTGCTTGGTTCGTCCCCGAACCACATCGTATTGGGATATGTCTTGCTCTAATACCATTTGTAACACCCCATACTACTTTCAAGATTACTGACTGACCCCACAAACCAACATGAATATTTTTCACCTTTATTTGTCCTCACTCACACACTTTCTGGGAAACTTTCTAGAAGGTCACTCATCCAAATACTACTCCAAACCAAGCACGCTTAACTATGGAGTTATTATTTGTCAGGATACCAAAAATAAGATGCATCTTGTTGATATAGGTAGTACCAATTAATCCTTATAAGTCTTCCTTCAACCATGTAGTCCCTTCCCTGCACAACCTCAGGATCCCTCTCATTCCAATGTGAATTCGGTTTTTCCCTTAAAGCTTCTAAGAGTGTCTCATTGTCATGCCTCATGCACCAACAACCACTCTCCCTCCCTCGGGTGTTACATATAACCACTCTCTTCCCTATTCGGCCTCGGGTTTTACAGATATCCTATTAGGATTATTTGACTTGAATTGCTATCAAGTTTTCTTCTCAACATATCTAGCACATGTTTATGTGTTATAGATCCCAATACCTTTTAATGACTCCAGCTAGGTTTGACACCAAACCAATATTCTTCTGGAATGATTCCTTCTAGCTTCTTCGTTAGATATGTTTCAA